CCTACTCAGACCTACTAGTGTATGTTTAACCATAGTGATAATGTATTTGCACCTTTAAGAAAAAATAAATGTACTTCACTGATTGATTACTGATCAATTTTACTGTCTTTTTACAGTGGGGGGGGGGGTAAATAATACAACTTGTTTCTCTATTGAGCAGCAGCACTGTCAGGAACGTTCAGAAGTCTGAGGCATCCACTAAATTGTTCTAAGGAACTGAAAATCATCAAAAGCATGAGAAGCTACTAGAGAGTATGATGCACTTTGATCACTCCTTCAGTCTGCACTTCCTGTTTTTCTCTCTGCCTCTCCCGGACCTTCTTTGTAGAGGAGCTGTGATCTAAATGAGAGGGAATACATGACTAACAGATAACTGGGAGGAGAAGGGATGGGTTTATCAACACCCCCATTACATCAACTAAGCCAGTTATCTACCCCTGGTCTCATCGATGGGACCAAAGGCTGGGGTCTTTGAGTCTGATTAGGACTCTATTCCTCAGGATCCCTATTGTTAGGTAAAACTCTCCATTTTATGGCTCTTTAATTATCTTTTTTTAATTCCATTATTCTAATCCTATTAGAATGGGATTACGCCCGTCATCGTTTTACTGTCACTATTACTCATGGATGTGGCTAGGTAGCCGACTAGCTACGTCACCAAAAGATGTAGCTCCCCTCAATCCCACCAACAGAGATCTAATCGGTCAACTGGTTCTCTAACTAGCTGAAATGGTTGTCAATGGTTACAACACCGCATCACTTCAAAGTCTGGGACCAGGCTCTGTAGACCACCTCAGTACTTTCTGATTTACCTACCACATCCAAGGCAGTGAGCCCCAAACCCATACATTCTTAATGAAGACATAATAAATGGGTATAATTACCTAAAACCACTGAGCTCTGTAGTTTTTAACAAACACAACTCCAAGAAAATAAGAGCATGTGTTGGAGGCTGTTTCAGCTGCAGATTAATGACAGATACGGGGCCAAAAAAAGGCACAGGAAATAAATAAATTAATAAACAACGATGAGTAATAAAAAATAAATACATTGTTTGTGTCCTGACAAGACTAAATAAATAAATAATAATTAAATTATCAATCAATTTATTTTCATATCACAGTATTTCCACATTATTGTATTTCAGCATGAATAAATAAATTACTTATTTTATTTATTTATTTCCAAATTGATTTATCTCTACAATTATTTCTTGCTAGATCAACTGCCCAATTTCATGGGGCGTGGCCTGATTAATCAAGTCTTTTAGTATTCTGCTAATATTGTTTATTGTGCAATCAACACTAATGTGGTGAGGGCAGTGCAATCATTCTAACGCACTTTATCGGTCAGACAGTGAGAACTAAATGTTACTGTGGCGTAGGTACGTCACAGCCTCCCTTATAATTATAACAGAAGAAATAAATATATGTGAAATAAATAAATAAACTGCACATTTATTCTTATTTGCCTAAATTTAAATGTTTTTATTTTAAATTAATCAGAACAATTTATTTACCCTTATATTTATTTATTTCTCGTGTCACTTTTGGGCCCCCATACCGAACGAGTACGAAGGTGTCCGTAAAGAAAACATTACATCTTTAACAAACAATGTGCAGACAGTTTACAGGAGTTCAACGCTTTTTCTCATGACAATTGAACCAGCTCAAAACAGCCAAACCAGAAAAAGTTTATTGACTGTGCAACAATATCCTGTTGTGAAATACTCGTTGCTAAAGTCGATGCACAACAGTCAGATAAAAACCCACTAGAGATAACGCACTTCCCTTTTACTGGTGCAGCAGCTACATCTAATCGCGTGAACCTACATCTGTGGTGGTGACTGCCATGTAGCTGTGCTCTTATTGTAATAATGACTGGCTGCTAGTTAGTCATGTCTGACTATTAAAGCTTTCTGTCCTAGTTGTGTTTAGTTTTACACAAACTGACAGAACGAGGAGCTGATCAGCACTGAACCTTCCAGTGAACTCAAAAGTGACTAAGATATTGAGAATAATATTAATTTAATTTGGGACTTGTATCAAACAAACATGTTCTTGGCCATAATGCCATTATGATTATAAGTCGATTAACTGTGCAGCCATAAAGCAGACAAATCAAAGAAAATAAAACCAAACGTAAAAACCAAAAAGTAGAAGTCGAAGACAAAAGCACTGAAATCAAGAATTAAAAGCTGCGTTCTGCAAGTACCTTTTGAGTCCTGTTTTAAACTGGGGCAACAGTGTGATGTGTTTAAAGTGTAAGTGAGAGATTCTGGCGTGAAGTATTTATTACCTGCTGTCGATCAGGCTGGAAGTCTAACTCCAGATTGTTTATTAACTGAAACACTCATCTGTCTGCTGCTCCTTTTGAACAGCAGGAAGATAAAAAATCAACTGGTATAGAAGTTTAATTCTGTGAAATGCTGATTCATGATTTATAAATAGAGAATAACTGGGTGGAGGAAGGTGGCAGTAACGGGTGGTGTTGTTGTTGTTTAAGCGAATCATTGTGTGGCTCAGCTCCTGCTTTCCCAACATCTTTCCTCACTGAGCGGTAAACAAAACCACACTTACATTTTAGGCTGTGTGAGGTTAACCTCTGCGTCTTATTAGACAACATAATGAGCAGCACTCATTAGTTCTGACCACTTTAACCATTGGGAATTTTTAAGGCTGTTCTATGCTATGCAGATCTATAGTGCTTCACACCGCCTGCTCGCTGTGCACACTGGAAACTGCACCACATGCATCATGCATTTGTACGACAACACATTTACATTATCTAAAGATGGATCAATTTCCCTCTCAATCAGTGTCACCTGCACGCATAGCAACAAAGCTGCAGTGAAAGTATTCGTTCAGATCACTGTGTATTTAGTGTAGTACTCCACTGGGAATTAAAATGTATAGAAATCAATCTCCAGCTGAAGTAGAGTCGGGTAGAAATCCGTGACTTAAAGCGTGTAAGCAGTATGCAAATAGTCACTTAATCACAGCAGCGGTAGCTCATGCCACCCTTTGATTTCCTTGCTGATTTGAGGTGCAGCTGGATGCATTAAGTTAATATCACCAACCATCTGATGCTAATTATGAGATCAGACAAATCCCTCACAGCCGACCTCGCTTTACAATCAGCTGCTTCTAAGCTATCCGCCGCTACAGGCCGCCATCAAACTGACGGCGAGGGCCGACACGCGCACGACGCAGAGGGAAGCAAATCTGTCCAAGGCTGCCTGTGAAACAAGGGAGGAGGTGAGATCCAAATCATTTCCACCATCTGCTCCGCTGTCTGTTTGTCTGCTGCCTAAACGAGGCTCCTGCTACACAAACATTGGCCACAAACAATGACAAACATGCAGCGCTTCACGTTACCGCCGGCCAAATATTGATCTAACATCTCTCAGACTCAGCAGATTATGCTGAAGTGGGGAAGTGGCTGCTCACTACATCGCTTTACTCTGCCTGTGATACAATGTGGGCTTTTTAAAATGCAGATGCACAGTAGGAACAGCAGGAAAATACTTCTTTAAAATGTTAATTATATTTCTGAGTACTGGTGCCGGGGAGTTTTAAGAGTTTTAAATGAGGAAGGATATCTATCTATAACTGCAGAAAACCTTGCAACACTACCAGGGAAACCAGGGGTGACTAAACAAAGAAAATAAAAAACAGAACATGCTTTGTCTTTTTAATTTACTCCCACTCCTAAAATCATTACTTTGAAGCTCTTTTATTCCACAGTCCAGGTTTTTTTTGGTTTCTTTTGCTTTTACTCAGAAGCTTTGACAAGGACTCAAGGCCCCACTTGAACAAGTAGTTTCCAACAATAACAGTGAATGTTATTCAACCATGCCAGCTGCTCTCAAGGCAAACAACAGGGAGGTTTTTCAGCTTCAAAACAGGAATTTAAAAGTAATGTCATCAGTTCACATTTAAATACGGCGTCTGAATAGGTCGAGTTCAGTTTAGGGACACGTTCGAAATGGGCACATTTTATTTTCATGCATTCACTTAATAAAGAGGGAATGAAATAATCATTTTGGACCAAGCTTTTTCAGCAGGTGCATAATTCATGATGCTAATTAAAGAATAACTTAAATTTACAGGGTTCCTGAGCTGGATGTTGGATTTTAACTGCATATTTTATGGCATTAAAAAAAAAAAAAAAAAAAAAAAAAAAAACACACACATTTAGGAAAACTGCACTTGATACCACTCTCCTGTCTGTACATTTACTATAGAGCTAAAGCTGTGGTGTGATTAGCCTAGCTTAGCATACAGACTAGAGGCAGGGGGAAACAGCTAGCGGCTAATTGTCGTTTGTACTTTTCTGTTTGTGTACCGTTTTAATTTCTCTGCATTAAAAGAGATGATAGGATTATCTTTTTAAAGGCTAGGTATTTCCCCCTGTTTCCACTCTTTATGCTAAGCTAGGTTAACCACATCCAAACTCTAGATCTACATTGAAGGCACAGATAATCAGAGCGGTGTTTGTCTCATACAGAAAGAGAATTAGCGTCTTTCCTAAAATGTTATCCTTTAAAGTTTAAAGTCTAGGGGTCACGTGGTTGTGTCTTAAAAATATCCTCCAGTCGGATCAGCAGTCCAAAAGCCCGACACAATCCATTTACAATGACACACAACTGAGAAAATTTTACTTATTTTAAGTCACTAATTATCTGATTTATTAGTTATCAAAACTGTCAAGAGTTAATTGACTTAGCAATTAATCATATCGGCATAATTTTCACTTGTAATAAAAGTCATCATCATGATCAGGTCAAATATTTTTTAATGCCAGAAAACGGTGCCAAAAAGTCTGAGGGCTGAATTTTCTCTCTGGCACACAGCCAACTAACTTTAATTAAAATAAAAGTGTCGTGTCACAGATATAAACAGATATATCAGATATTAAACTACCACTTTTTCCTTCAGAAGTTTTCCTGCCGTCTCTCTCTCTCTCTCTCTCTCTCTCTCTCTCTGTCTGTGTCTTACCCGTGTGGTGGTGGCGAACATGTACTTGTCCCGGAGCTGGAAGCTGTCCACCTGCTCCAGGATCACTCTGCGGTTCTGTTCACTCTGGAAGAAGTCGGTGCTGCTGAGAATAGTGGAGACTCCCTGGGGCTCGTGTCTCTGGACCAGCACTGTGGTGGGGGGGTCGTAGGGTTCCACACCCCTAAAGATGGAGGGAGAGGAGAGGAGAGCAGGAGGGAAGAGGGGTCAAAGAAGCAAGGTCAGGTGAGGGAGGGAGGACAACAGTATATAATATTTTAACCAGTTGTTCTTGAGAAAACAAACACACAGTTTTTACAGAAGCCAAAACATGACCAGTTTTGTTTTCTTGCACATTTACACTGAAATCCATTTACTTCCTTCTTAACACAGTATTTTTAGTGGTTACTTAATGGAGTGCCAGTAGGCCCACATAAAAATTTCAACACCCCCTCCTCCACCCGAGCCACGCACCAAAACCTCCCTCTCAACATCAAAGAGGGGAATCCTTTCCTAAATCCTCTTCATGGGCCTGAACATCAGATGTCTCATCTCCAAAATGCTGCTGTCTAAATAGATTCCAACCAGACTGAAGAATGACTTTTTTGTTTTTGTTTTCACTGATGTAAACATAAATCAATTTTAACATTAGATAACGTATCAAATTTTAATTTTGACTATATTTATAATATATTCTAATCTAGATACAAAATATCTACATGATATTCCCAAGATTTGTGAGGTGTAAAATGTAAAAATGTATCTTTAGAAATGACACAGTGCTGGAGGCTCAGTGACTCAATGATGCTAACATCGCTAGTGAGCTAACAGTTAATACTCTTACAAGCTGGGAACACGCTACATCACAATAGCTCTCTGACCTTCCGAGTTAGCTTGGTTGCTAATGAGACGACAAGTTCACACTGTCCTGATGAAGTCTTTCAAGTCTTTAAAGAGCCCTAGTCTCTGGTTCTGGTCTCAACAGACTCCTCTCGAAAGTCTGGGTCTGACTGAGTCTCTCTGATGTTTCCTCCTCTCACCATCTTGATGCTCTCTGCTCTGTCACCTGTCCACCTGGAGCCAACAGGTGGCGGTGGGCGGAGCATAAGGCCTGATCAAGATTTCTCAATGAGGAAGTGAGAGGAGATGACAAACAAAATATTAATCACAGCAGATGATTTTTACAGAGTTTAAAACGTGTGGAGAGGAACTTTAATACTGGACATTTCTGATGCTTATTTAAATGATGATTACATATTACAGTATCTGCTGCACTGAAATAAAATGTCTTATTAGCATCAGCTAATACGGCCTGCCTCTGGAGACATGTGTGTCCGTCCTTTAAACCGATGAAAGCGAGGGTCAAAACTGAGAAGCTTTTAGTTTTATGTTTTGCACGCCGTCCTCTGCTAATGACAAAGGAGAGATAACAGATTTGTTCCTGCTGGAGCTTAGAGGATTTAGTCAACCCGTGGTGTCAGAACAGAGTCGGTCTCTGGTGCATTTTTCACATTCACATGCTCCAATTTTCACTCACATATGCAGCAGAGAGCTCGTACTGTAGCGCTGCAACAGCAGCAGGCTGAGCTGGATAAAACACAGTGGAGGACGGTAGAGAAAGGATCAGGTTTTGATTCGAGATTTTTTTAGCTGATACCGATCTATTAAATATCCGGATCCGGCTCGTCGGGATCTGCACAGCAGACCACTCCTCTTTTGTGGAGCAGTTTACGCTACAACAGAGAAATACTAGGTTGTCTGCCTCCGCCACTTTATCCGGAGTCAGATAAAATATGAACCATTTGTGTGAAATTTTGTCATAATTGTTGTGTGAGGTCTTGAGTAATGGCTAAAAAATGTTTTGTGAGGTCACACTGACCTTGACCGTTGACCTTTGATCACCTTAATCTAATCATTTCATCCTTGTTCCCTCAAGGCGTTACGGAGATATCACGTTCACAAGGACAAAATCATGTTCTGTGAGATCACCTTGACCTTTAACACTTAGTCACCAAAATCTAATCAGTTCTTCCTCGAGTCCAGGGGAAAGTTTTTACCAAATTTGAAGAAATTCCATCAAGGCGTTACTGAGATATCTCGTTCACGAGAATGGGACGGGCAACCTGAAAACAACATGGCTCCGGCTCTGGCTGTCGCCGGCGCTGGATGATGACACAGCTAAAAAATAAAAACCTACAATGGCTCCACTTGCAATTTGTTAAAAGGTGCAAATTGTTGCAAAGTTCACATATTTTCTTTCCCCCCTCGGCTCCTACCAGCGCAGTCTGTCGTGCATTTTTAATGCAGCGCCATTTCCCCACCTCCTGATGGAGTGACAAACTGACTGACACTCTGACGCCTTGGAGTCGTGTCATTTTCCTCGGGGTGCAGTGTTTTCTTCCCACAGTTCCCAGACATGAATATAATGTGAACTTGAGACTCTAAACTGCACACAGATGACAAAAATATCTATCAAATATGATCCACCCTATGTTGCTACCCTGCTACCCGGTGCGTTCTCCTTTAGGAGTGTAGAGGATTTTATATTAATCTGTTGTTTGCTTTTAATAAAACAATGTGTACGTCGTTGATGTAATCATAATATGCTTATAACTAAGTGACTTTTTCATAAAATTTGCTGTGCAACATTACAGAAGAACAGACTGAACTTATGATATTGTTTGAAGGCCACAACTCCTTATATGGTAGACATCCCCGAACAGAAGTGAGACATTAAAACGAGGAATAGAGTAGGGTATTGTCTCTGTTTGTGTGAATCTCTCACAGATCCACCGCCATGAGGGCTGTCCCGCGTAGGAGAGTCAGATAACACGAGGTGAAACAACACAGATAACACGTGGAGGAGCAAAACAAGAAGACAGCGGCATGGACCGATAAGAGAATCAACCCACATTGTATTATTTTTTCTATGTGAGAATATGAAAAGACTGGGTCAGGAAGAGGTAGGGAGTCAGACTTCATGAACTGGCGCAACTGCATGTTGTTGTCAGGGTGAGATAGTTTGGCCCAGAGCTCTGTAACGATCTCCTTTTTCTAACGCTATGTTGCTGTTAGCTTTAATAAATACTGGGATTTGAACTTTGAAAGACTGTGTTTCCTTCATCAAACCAACACGCGAGTTCAGGTGACGGACTCAACAGGAGGTGTTGGAGAACATCTTCAGAGGTGTCAGTCCCAAAAACATGTACTGAATTCAGCCTTGGGAAACGGCCACACCACCGAAAATCACTGACTGTTTCAGAAGCTTTTCACACTGACAAAGAATCCTTGTCATTTTTGTCTTTTCTATAGATACAGCCTTTTTTTTTCCTTCTAGATAATAAATGTCAGCAGCAAATACGGACTATCAGCATGATCAAACCAAAAATACAACCCCTGACAAAACAGCGTGGTCAAACTATTTATGACCGAGGTTGTTCAGAATCTGTGGCGCACAGAATGAATGAAGGAGGTTCACTGCATCTTATCGTCTGTCGTCCGAATCGGAGTGTTTTCCTCTGGAGTCTCAAGAGCCGAACAGAGGGAGCAGTGTCTTGGCTCGGCTCTGCCTCTGTGGCTTTCTTTCAAAGGCCCCTGTTCAGCTGATGGACGCTGTCTGGGCTGAGAGTGCACGGAGGGCTATTCGCAGTCCGTCTCTGTCCCTTCCTCTGAATTCACACCCCCCCCCCCCCCCCCCCCGCCTTTTAAACGCTTCCTAAACAGCCCTCCTCCACTGTTTTGGCACTTTCTCATTTTTCTGCCAGTCCTGTTTGTCATTCAATTAGGGCTTTCCCGAAAACACTCTGTCGGAAAATACCACCATTTTTTTTTTTTTTTTTACACTGAACTGCCAACAGCCAATAAATCTGTTTATTTTCAGGCTGAACATTTGTAATGTCTCATGCTGTGACACAAAAAGATCTAATGAAATAAGCCATCAAATCTGAGGTTGACAACATTTTATGCCAAATTAAATATTTATACTTAATAATATACAACTCTGCAGTGAACAGGCCTGTCATTCTTTCAAAACAACCTACTAAAAAAATTTGATTTAACATGTAATTTATTTGTATTAATCTGAAACAAAAAACCAACAAAGTTGGGTTCACATCTCGGCTGCCTAGCTAGTATTACAAGCTAATGTGACAAGCAAACATGACAAGCAAATACAACCAGCTCAAGTAGCTAATCTGACAATCTAATATAGCTAATATGACAAGCTAATGTGACAAACAACTATAACAAGCTAACGTAACAAGATAACTGGACAAGCTAATATAACAAGCTGATGTGACAATCAAATACAACCAGCTCACATAGCTAATCTGACAATCTAATATAGCTAATATGACAAGCTAATATAACAAGCTAATGTTACTAAGTACTATAACAAGCTAACATAACAAGATAATGTAACAAGCTAATCTGACCATATAACAAGCTAACATAACAAGATAATCTGACAAACTAATGTAACAAGCTAATCAGACAACATAATAAGATAAAATAACAAATAAATATAAACAAGCTAACATAACAAGCAAATCTGACAAGGTAATATAACAAGATAACGTAACAAGCTAAAAAGCTATTCTGACAAATTTATATAACAAGCTAATATAACAAGCTACCGTAACAAGTTAATGTGACAAGCTAGTACAACAAGCTAACATAACACGCTAATGTAATCAGCTAACGTAATAAGCTATCGTGAGAAGCTAACATTACAGTAAGGCAGTTGCATTTTACAAAGTCAGCGCACAGCATCACCGTTATCTACGATCGTCGAATTTCAATTAAATTTCATGAATATATGTGAATATTTAGCACGTTCTAATTTCTTCTATTTGCTACAATAAATACGATTAATACTTTATACTAATACCAAACACACTTGGAGATATCTGAATCTGAGTTTCAGTCCTGAATACATTTTGTTCCGCTTTGTTTTCGAAGCAGGAAGTGCTGACTGTCAGATATCAACACAACTAATCAGGTGCCCTTTAATTCTACAACACAGTGAAAACGATCTAGGTGTGTCCAGGTACATGAGTGTTATCTTGTTATCAGTGACAAAAAGTAATGAAGCTTCGGCGAGGAGCAGCAGAGAGGGCGACCTGCAGCTCCACGTGATCCATCTAAAAGACGAGGAGGTGGGAGACGTTTATTCATCTGAATACTCATTTATCAACAGGCAGCCATCAGAGCGGTGTGATGGTGCTGTTCAGTGCTGCGTCCTCATTTTCCCTCAGCCCTTGTTTTCCCTGAGTCTGAATCACTGCCTTGTACCCGACTGCTTTCATTTAAATTTAAAGTAACAGACTCAGATTGCTGAAGCTTTTTGGCAGGAACAGAGGGACGTGCAATCACTGATTTCATTGTCTGACTGTTTGCAGTTGTACAGCTCAAATGACTGCTTCTACTCCTCAGCTAGCTTTAGCTATAGCAAACTGAAAATGACTATTGAATCATGTATTTTGATTCACAGCGGGTTAATTTTCCCAGAGTCCCACGGAGAGCTGAAGATCTGCATTCGACTGCAGTGACTCGTGTTGTGTTTTGTAAAAAAAAGTAAATAATTCAAACGCAACTGAAGCTACAACTTGAAGCTGCAAGGTCACTGTGACAAGTTTACACATGTACACTATTTTATACACAACACACAACAGTCCTAGATGACTCCAACTGTATTTTGTCATGAACCCAGGAGGGATCTGTGTACAAACTGAATAAAGGAAGTAATTCAGACACAAATAATGACAAAATAAAAAAGAAGCTCCTCAGGGTCTCTTCAGGAGGAGATCAAAGCTTTCATTCAGTTCATTTAGGGGGAATTTTGGCTAAAACATATGACTTGTTTTTTGACCTGACCGGGTCTTCATCAGGGCGGAAACAGTAAAAACAAAATGTTTTCACCTGGTTCTCACCTGAGACAGCACTATTACAAAACATAATGAAATAACTGTCACAATATCATCAACACTGATATCGAAAAAATAGATATAATGACAACACTACAAATCCTTAAAGTCTGAGCTAAGGTTTCATTTAATTAATACAGTTGCACAACAGTTTCCTTAAGATGTTAACTTCAGTATTTAAGTTTTTCTCCTTATCTTCGTCTTATACTTAAAGATTCAAGTCAGTTTAACTGTTGCACAAAAGACCTTTGCATCCAAAAAGGATTGTGCAAACACCTTAACTTTTTCCTTTAACTAAGGAAACTTTTTAAGAGATTACTCCCTCAGCTAAGGAGAAATTAACCCTTAAGTGACATACTTAAGTAGAAAACTTAAGGTGTTTTGTGCAACCCACCCCCAGGCTGCAGGTCATCCGGACAGGTTTACTCAGAACCAAGCCTGAAGCAGCTTTTAGTTTATTCAAATCGAGGCTTAAGAAATATCACTGTTTACTGCAGCTCACTAATAAATTACATACGTAACATCTTTTTCATCTTGTGCCATGTTTGCATTTGCTTGTTTCTAATGTCTTTTATCACTAAAACGCTTCTTTTAAAAACATTTTAATGTCATTTTAATGTTCTATTTTAACGTATTTCCATGCCTCTGTAAAGCACTTTGAATACTGCTGTATAAATAAACCTGCCATGCAAATCATATCACTCAGAATAATATAGTCACATCAGTGAAGATGATGTGACGATAAGGTTCAACATCTCCTTCCTCATTTAAACCTGCAACTATCATGGCGTCACATTTAAAACCAGGTTTCTCTTTGCAGTGAATAATGAAGCGTTCACTTGTCCTTCCTGAAAGACAAACACAGTCTGTCACCACCGTAAACAGAAACTGACCAGCGACGCCTTCACAAGAAAAGGGAAAAGTCGTCTGATCAAACGCCAGGAAAAACCAGAATGACCAGCTCACAGCTGAAGCACTTGATGCATGTAATTTCTTTTTTGTAAAGCAGGTTGTGCTGCATTTCTTGTATCATCATTATTATTATTATTATTATTAAAAGATCTGCCATAATGATTTTATCATATGTGTATTATCAACATAATTATTAAAAATTTTTTTAAATATCATTAATATATAAAAGACACATAATATCAACCAGTAATTTCTGGCTCTTTTTTCAATTATCTGGAAAATTTTTCAAATGTTTGTCCTGTGAACTGAAGCTTAGAAATGGTTGAAATTTGATTTTCTGATGCGAAAAAGTCTAAATATTTGAGACTTTTAGGACGATCAGCTGTGCCTCCTTTAACCAGCTCATTGCTTTTCTCTTAACCTCATACAGTTACTGTGCAGTAATAACGTCCCACTGTATCACGTCCTGAAGCTCGTGTGTTCAGTGGTTGTCTTACCAAAAGTAGGTCTTCACATGCTCTTGGATCAACACCCATGTCTCCCCAAAGTCGTCCGATTTCCACAGCTACAGAGGAGGGAGGGGAGAGAGAGGGTGTAAGGAGAGGGAGGAGGAGGAGGGAGACAGGGAGAGAAGGAGGAGGAGGAGGAGGAGGAGGAGGAGGAGGAGGAGGGGTGGTGCAATGTAAAATGTAGGTCAAGCTCATTCCTTTGCTTTGGCTCTTACACATGTGACAAGAACACTGAGGAGAGACATTTAGCTCCGAACTGGAGACAATGAAACTGAAAAAGCTCACGTGCAAAAAAAAAAAAAAAAACCCCAAAGTAACCAACAGTTTCGTCTCTTTGTTACCATAACAACACATGAAGCAGTTAATCTGACAAGCACTTTAAAATGTAACAGCAGCTGGAGAGAAGCAGAAAACGTCTTAAACTGGTGCAAATGAGAAAAAAAGGAAAATGAATGAACTTATTCCGTCATAGACAATTTTATGTTACGTTTACAGTCGTGGTCGAACTTCGACCGACTGCTGCCTGAAAAGCAAAACGGCAGCACAGCTCTGAAGCAGCTCGAGCTGTCAAATTAATATTTTCAAATATTCTCACATGATATCTGACCTTAAAACAAAGATCGGTACCTGCTTGTTTGGGTGGGAGCTGTCGTAGCCCAGCACCAGGTTGGATCTCCTGCTGTGCAGCAGCAGGTCTGTGGGTTTGAAGGGCAGGGAGAAGCCCTGGACGCTCTTACAGAAGTCAAAGGTGTTCCACAGGTAGTTGTTGGTGGAGTCTACGAAAAGGTACTGAAGAAGAAGAGGAAAAGAAAAGCACCAAAACGAGATGTGAGGCTTTATCCTGGAGGCAATATATGAAACCGAAATATGATGTAATCTCTAAACTAATTAGACAAGTCCTAAGAAAAAATATTCTTGGAAAGGAAAAGCATTGAGATGCTCCGTCAGATGTATTCCCCAGCCTCATTACGGAGTTTGATTATGTTATTGTACTGCGCTAATCCCACTTTTCTCAGCTCGCTTTAATGTGCTGTGTCACTGTAAACCCTCAGTTGTGTGTGAGCAGGTACAGTACAGCTTCACTGACGAAAGGCAGGATCAGGACGAACTCACAGGAGAAATAAAGAAGGATGAAATAAAGAAGAATAATATCCCATATGGGGGGGTTGTGGTAATCTGTTATCCAGGAAACATTACTGACGTTACAGTAAAACGCTGCATTTAATAATCTTTCAAGATGTGCTACAGCAAAGCAGCAGAGGCTGAGATATCCTGACTTTTAGTCCCTGGTGTGGGTTAACCTGCAAAAACACTGGATACTACATTACCCATAATGCAACTCAACTCCACTTCACAGCTCAAGCTTTTTTGTTATAAATGTGTGGTTTCAAAACCTAAGCTAAGTTCTTTTTATTTTTTTATCTGGAGTATGTATGTCTTATGTCTAATAACCCACAATGAGTTAAAGTTAATGATGCTCTAATCCAGCAACATGAAGTTACAAAGGGTGTACCTCAAGGATCTGTGTTAGGCCCCCAGTTATTTTATCTATTCCACAAGAATGTCCAAGGATGCACTTGCAAAATAAAATAATGTGCACATCCCCCTAATGTTTAAGGATACAAAGATCGATTACACGATTACCTGAACTTAAATAAAAATTGGTGCAATAAAGGATCTGAACATTAATTTGAGACAAAAGAGGTAAAACCATCAAATACAACTTGGCAAATTATAGATAAATCATAACCAAATTATAAAGATGTTTCTGCATGCTATGATCCTTTGACGTGTGACTTAAATGTGGTATTAAACAGACTCAAAAGCCAATTCACCATCATCACTGCAGGAAACTGGAGAAACATCATGTTATATTCTAATATATTCTGTTTTGTGTATAAAATGTTAAATGACTTGGCCCCTCCTCCATTATGTGACTCAGATTGTACTATATCCGTTCGGCAACTCGTTTTCTCATCTGATCATGTTTGAATGCCGTTTGAACTGAACTGAAGTCAACCTGCAACATGCAAATTCAGGTAGTGATGCTAGCGTTAGCTCTGCTCCTCCCGGCCCTCCCTCCCTCCCTCTTCCTGCTCCTTTACGCTCTGCCCAGCCCTTCATCCTACATCCTCGTCATGTTCACTGCCTCACATAATGCAGGAACTGGGAGCTTGCCAGCCTGTGAATCAGCCATAGCGACGTCTCCCAGCTGGTAATAACAACTTGAAGTCTGAGTGCGAGAGGAGCAGTGGACCAGGACTATGTTCATGTATTGATTGACAGCTGGAGATCCCACCCCTGACTTTGGCCTTCTCTTATTGGTTAGAAGGGCAAGACTTGCTTCAATGAGTCTGGCTCACAGAAGCCTTTGACAGCACCTCAGGTCTGGGTGTCATCAGATAATCCATAATTCATTTGTAATTTAAAAAACAAAACACAACAAAAAACGTAAATCTGTTGACAAAAGGTTTTTGGTGTCAGAAACAAAAAATTAACTGGTCTGTTTTTTTGTTTTCAGCACTTTCTTTTATCATTATTTAGTTTGAGTTTAATTAAATGGTCTATTTGTTTTTTGTTTCTAATAAAAAGGGAGAAAACCATTTATCTATTTCTTTTTTTAAATGGTCCAACTGTGTGCGAGTCAAAATAAAATAATTTAAATTAAATCAAAAAAATGTTTTCCATTTTGAAACAAAACAAAAGATTGACATTTAGTTTTTGAGCATATTTAAACAAAAAAAAAAATATAAGAAAAAAAGACATACTGTAGCTTTAAGAATCCAAAGCCACAAAGTTAAAATCAGTCTGTAGATGTCTGATCTTTGGTCGATCGCCAAGAGAGGTTGGTGTTGAGGAACAGATCACACAGAGGACGTGTGATAAAATAACCGCAATCCTTCAACATAAACAACACCAAGGAGCACGGTGGTTAACGCCACTGTAAAATAGAAAAGCTGAGACACTGTTTGGCTCAGGATTCAATTAATTTCTGTATGACACATTTGATTTTCCACCTGTGGTACCTGGTGTTACATGTGTTCATTGTGCATGAATTTTGACCGGATAAACCCAGTCACCTCATTTTCATAACCCCACCTTCACGGTTACATTTGCCTGAGAACAGTAAAACTTAATCTGTATCCTGGATCATGTGACGACCATATTGTAACACCAGCCACTGGTCCCAGACTGCGACTCACCCTCCTGTTGTCTGCTGGGCTGTGGTAGAACTGGGAGATGACCTGCTTGCTGCCGTCCTTGAACTTGGGCCCCAGGAGCTGGAACTTCTCTGAGACGAGCGTGAAGGTGGTCCCGTAATCGTAGGACACGTAGACCTGGAGACAAAGAGGGGAGGAGGTGATCGACGCCTGCACAATCGCGCTCCACGATAACTGGGGGAAAAAACGTCTGGATTACAGCTGAATGATTGATATTACTTTTATATCAAAAATATGGTTTGAAAGTAAAAGTTAATGAGCTAAGGAAGGGAGAGTTTAAGATTTCGACTGCTCTAATGTCACCTGTCACAGGTAAATTTACTCAGCTGTGGTTTATTAACAGGGATTATGCAATATTCTCTTTATGCTGGCGACTAAACACTACAAACACACCTTGTTTACCAGACCACAATTGTAACTTTTATGACCATTATTGCCATTTAAATTGGGATTATTTCTATTAATTGATGATTAAAAGAAATAATCCCAATGTAAATGGCAATATTGGTCATAAAAATCACAATCAGATAAACCCTGATGAAGAAATGGAAAAGCAAATTCACTGAGACACGAGACACTAAAATGATTTAAGCTGTAATGAACCAAAAAGGCTGAAGTATCTCTGAGGAGACAATTTGACATTTAAAAATGTCTATTCTGTCAAAACATTTGGTGTATGATTTTTGGAAAACATTAAAAATGAAAGATTTTTTTTTTTTTTTTTTTTTTTTTTTTTTTAAATCAGACAAAACAGCAGCTTCCATCCAAAGATATCAATATTAGCATTGAACCTGAAAACTCCCGATAAGTAAAGAGATTAAAGAGAGTTTCTGTCTCTTAAGCTCTTAAAGTTGTTGAAGTCTGCAGCAGCCCGGACCAGGAAGTGGAAATAGAAGAGAGGAGGCTATGTTCAATGACTGCACTTCACGTGTGGCCGGAAACTCGAGAAACATGTTAAACAAGTGTGATGTGTTCAGGTGCACTCACTGAGCTGGTCCTGGGCCCGGTGGCTCCAGCGCTGTCTCGGGCCAAGGCTACGATGACGTTGCTCTTCTCTCCCGCCCAGTGGACCACCATCTGGTTATGGGAGTCATTCAGGTTGGCCTGCGGGACGGAGGAAATGCATGTCAGGGAAACACTGCACAGAATCTCTCTTCAGACTGATGCAAAGATGAAACTTGCTGCAGAGACACCGTGGAAGTAAATGGAAAAAATGAAAACAGAAAAGTAGCAAATGGAAGGATTAAGAGCTCTGATCATTGTAAGAACACTCGGTGTACTACTGAGCTAATCAACGAAGATTAGCTGGAATTTCTCTGCTCGTATATTCACCTGTTGATTGACATCTTCCATTTACAAATGAGAAATTAAATCCATAATCAATAAAACACACCCTGGCTCAGCTGAACTCACACATTGGTTCTGCTGCTACAGTGTTGGAGGATCATGTCTGCAGACCTTAGATATGACGTCAGTCTGACTCTTCTCTCCTCGTGCTCCTGTTACACTGTGTTTTAGTGTTTAACAACATATCATAACCGTCACTTACGGTGTCAGTAACATTCACTTTAAGGCTGCGTTACAGTTCAGAGTATTTGAATTTTACAGCTCAATAAAATTATAATTACTACCTTCACAGTCTTTAAGGGAATGGCAGGTGTGGCCTTTTTATTCTGTCTATGGCACAAATCCATTGGTTCCAATTGAAGGTGCAAATCTTTAAAAACACATCACAAATATTTTGTTTTCTTAAAAAGGCTGGAAACTATTTGTTTTATTTTATTTATTTTTTTTGAACAAATATCACTCAAACAGGAGGAAACAGTGAATTTGTTGGGAACTATTTCCTGCTGTGGATGAATACACATTTGGTGATCTAGTGAGGACTGACTGAGTCAAAATAAACTACAGTGTGTGTGTTTGTACATGTCAGGCCTGGGTGATATCCAAAATGTAATATCTCCATGCAGTCCAAATATCGCGATACACAATATTATCAAGGAGGAGTTTTAATATAATTATATTGTTATTGTTGTATTTTATGTTTGAGTTCATTTTGTGTTTTTAATAATACATAATTATGTTATTGTTCTTTCATGTTTCAGGTGTTTTTTTTATAATATATAAATTTTATATAAAAATATTCAGCCAGTCAATAATTCAATATATTAATTTTCTATGCACAAGTTACAACGGACTTGGGTGATATCCAAAAGTTAATATCTCAATATAGTCCAGCCTATATATCTTTTTTTATACGTAAAAAAATGTTTTATAACAATTATATTGTATTGTATGTTTCATTTATTTATTTAAATATATTATTATATAATTGTATTTTATATTTCAGGTATTTTTTATAATATATAATTATGTTATTGTAACATTTATTTTTTAAAATGTATTATTATATTATCGTATTTTTAAATACATAATTATATTATTGTTTTTTATGTTTCATGTGTAAACGATGCTGCCAATAAACAGCAGTTTTATTTAGCACATGCCAAGTTACAATGTACAGAAAGGAAAGCAGTGAAAAGAAGGTCGGACTGTGGCGGGAAATATCGCTATATTTGATATTTGGTAGCAGGTGTCACCCAGTGCGATAGTGTGGCTCAGTGATGTAATAGTTTTTTGCCAACGCTGGAGCTCTATGGCGGAGAAAAATGAGCTACACAGACGGACACCAGAAAGATTGGTTTTGGTCGTTTTGATAAAAAAATAAACACGACACAGACTTTTCCTTTAACCGTGTAAACACCTGGCTGATCGAGCTCTGACAGTGTGTGTACATGCATATGGACGCATCCCATGTGTAGGTTGGATAATGCAATAACTTACTCTAAAACACGCACACGCACACACACACACACACGCACACACACACACGGCCTCCCCTTCAGCACACCTCCCATCGGGCACATAGATCAATGAAAAGAAATGGGCTATTTCATCTTTTTCATTGTCACTGCCTCGCCATCTCATCTCCTCGCTGCTTTCCTTCCCTTATCTTTTATTGATGATCCTGCGAGGGGCCGGCCTCTGAAAGGACTATTTTTTTATTTATTTTTTTTTGCTTCTAAGCCTTTTTCTGCACTTTCCAGGCGTCTCCCACTGTGGAGTAAACAACAAGTATCTCTGCCGCCCCTGTCAGCTGCGATCAGACACAACCCTCGACCCAGTTCTGCTTTGTAACTTCTACTATCACGACAGCGATGCGGACGACGGTGCCAAAAAAACACTGGCGCCTTCGAGAGCACGAGGAAACGGAGCCAAATAAACTATTCATCCTGAAACATGTCAGCAGTTGAGAGCAGCTGCTGCATCGCTGGGCCTGTCGTGTTGTTAATGTTGGGGTTTAAATTCACCAACATTCAACAGTAATCTTAAAAAAGTAGACGTGCATCGACAGAAAAGGCAGACACACTAATATCTGCACTCAAAAATCTATACACCAATGCAGCAACAACAGGGAGGGGGGGTTCTGGGAAATGTAGGAAATCATTAAAGGGTTAGACTGCAGAGAGCATTACAATACTAGATAGATAATGATGATGATGCATAAGTTTGGTGTTTTCCTTTAGTGTGACGATGATGTCACCGCCAGACGACCAGACTGAGTGTCGCGGGCCAGACACACATTTAAGCGTTTCCCCGTGTAGCTCCTGACAAAGGCACGACTATGGGCCGCTGTCAGGACGCCAGCTCCACTGACACACAACCTGCTTTTCAACCTCTGGCTTCAGTAAACAGCCCTCTGCTCTGCCCCCTCCCTCAGGGCCGCCGCCTCGCTGAGAGCCGGGGCTGCCTGTCAGGCCAAGGTGTTGCAGCAGTAAATCTCTGCATTTTCGGCTTCATTGGCCGCGATGAGAACAGGCCAAAAAAAAAAGAAGAAGAAGAAGAAGAGGGGGGCGAGCAGCTCTGCAGACCAACACGGCTGAATCTAGACATGGATGATGACTGTGGAGGTAAGAACTACCAGCGAAGGGTTAACTCGCCGCTCTGTCCGCAGGTAGTGGCTCAAAATGGAGGCAGCACCACTAAACATTGGCCGTCTCGACCATAATGAGGAGCGCTTGGGTAGCGCACCATAAAAGCTTGGACTTATTTGCGTGTGCAGCGCAGCATCTTTGTTATAAGCTCCATAAACTGCTGCTCTCCGCCTGCAGAGAGCTGGCTGTGTGGTTTGGCTCAGTGCTGTTGACTCACAAGCTCCTTCAAGCTCGGCTGACCTTTTCATGACCCCCCCGACCACACACACACACACACACACACACACACACACACACACACACACACACACATACACACACACACACACACACACAAGCTTTAAATCACTGTAGGCTTGACCAGCAAGCATTTTCATTTCATTTTCTTTACAGGCGATGTGCACAGCAAACGACGCATCACAGCCCTGCTGTGGCTGGATGTGAGTGTGTGTGTGAGTGTGTGTGTGAGTGTGTGTGTGTGTGTGTGTGTGTGTGTGTGTGTGTCGTCTCACACCCGGTTCTTCTTGCCCAGCTCTCGTTATCTTTACGCACCGGGTCAATTTTTGACGAAACTGCCTCGCGTCTTTAAAGCGTGAAATTCATTTTTAATGCTGAATGAGAATAATAAGAAGAAGAAGAAATTTGAGAAAAGGAGGCGGAGAGACGACAGCGCTCCGACTCTGTCTGTGATCACCTACACAGAATTCATGATATATAGTTTTCCCTATTTGCATATTTCTCTGTTTCTAGTGTGAAATATGATCATAGCTCATAAACAGGCCACTATGTTTACCAGCACTCGTTGTCAAGGTGATGTGCTGCAGGTACAAATCACTATTTTATTATCGCTACGTCATAGGCTTCGGCCGATATTCGATAATATTGAGTATTGCATATGTAATAAAGTCGGAGATGGGTGAGGCGTGCGCGCGCTCACCTTGAGTCACTGTTACAAAATTCAGAACGGACTTCCTGTGGTTTATCTGGCATGTTTCTTCACTTTTCCAGTGTGCATGAATGCATGACGAACCATCAACGTTTCTGTGGGTTAATTGATTGAACCCCAAAGGGAGCTAACAGATGCACTTATCATGTGTAAATTTGGCTAGCCGTACCTATATTTGATCAACACTGTTACTAGTACAAAGATAGTCGCAGGAACTCCTTCTAAAGAACTCATATGCATTTGTACTTGTCCCATCCAGTGTAAAGGTCTGTGTCCATGTGTAGTGTGATTATAGATCAGGTCTAGCTTCTATATTAATACTGTGAAAGTATCAAAGCCTCAGTCCACAGAGAAATGCACACAGCCTGTATTCAGAAACTGAGCCTTAAAACCAGCCGTCAGGACTTCTGGAACTTTGTGATGTCACAACAAAGCAGTCACCAAGCCCCGCCCACCTGGACCCACCATCCACACATTGTCTCCATTGTTTTTACCTGAAATCTGCTATATTGTTATTGGATCACTCAGTAAACAGTCAGCCAATCAGAAGAGAGGCTCAGAGCCTCCTCTCTTCTGATTGGCTCACCGACCTGTTGTCACTAGAGCTCCAGAGAGAAGCCTGAGAGAGGAGATGTAAAACTACACTGAGATGGTTTTTGGTTCTTAAAACCACTAACATATCTGCTTATGGATCAACACTTCAAATAAAACACAGAAGAAGAAGAAAATATGGAGCTTTAAACTGCTCTTGCTGTTACCAAGGTAACCATGGATGTCACCGAATCAGACAGACTTAGCTTAATTACAACAGGCAACAGTCAAACAATATTTTTTCTGTTGTAAATGAGTTTAACATGATAGTGATTAAAATACTTCAATATCAACATATTAAGGTATTTATAAAAATAATATTTTTATAAAAATAATATTTTTATAAATATTTCACACTCAATCTGAGGCAATTATTTCATGGAAACAGTGTCAACGCTGCTTTAGGAGGAGAAGCTGTAGCCTAGTAACAGCAGGAGAGAGACACATGATGAGACAGACGAAGCTCCTTTACCATGATGAGGTTAACGGCACCTTCAGACCAATAGGAACACAGTATACCACTGTGGTATGTGGTATGTTTCCAACATGGGGGGTTGCCCAGAGGTGGTAGA